GCGCGGCGAACATTCGTATATACCAAATACAAGTTGTTCACAGATTGATGGCGGACCGTTCTCAAAATTATCCCGGCAAAGCAAGCTAACAGCGATGTGAAGGAGCATATCTGGAAGCATTCCCCTTAAGATTCAGATGAGAATTCAGTTGTAGAATTCTGCTGTTCTCGCAGTCGCAGTCGCATTCGCAATGACAGTCGCAGTGGCAACGGCAGTCGCAGTCACAGTCTCAGCCTCAGCCTACTTCAGCATCAGCCTGCCTCAGCCTCAGCCTCAGCCTGCCTCAGCGTCAGCCTCAGCCTCAGCCTGCTTCAGCCTCAGCCTCAGTCTGCCTTCAGCCTCGGCCTCAGCCTCAGCCTGCCTCAGCCTCAGCCTGCATCAGCCTCAGCCTCAGCCTCAGCCTGCCTCAGCATCAGCCTGCCTCAGCCTCAGCCTCAGCCTGCCTCAGCCTCAGCCTCAGCATGCTTCAGCCTCAGCCTCAGTCTGCCTTCAGCCTCAGCCTTAGCCTCAGCCTGCCTCAGCCTCAGCCTCAGCCTCAGCCTGCCTCAGCATCAGCCTGCCTCAGCCTCAGCCTCAGCCTGCCTCAGCCTCAGCCCCAGTCTGCCTTCAGCCTCGGCCTCAGTCTGCCTTCAGCCTCGGCCTCAGCCTCAGCCTGCCTCAGCCTCAGCCTGCATCAGCCTCCTCAGCCTCAGCCTCAGCTCAGCCTGCCTCAGCCTCAGCCTCAGCCTCAGCCTCAGCCTCAGCCTCAGCCTCAGCCTCAGCCTGCCTCAGCCTCAGCCTCAGCCTGCTTCAGCCTCAGCCTCAGTCTGCCTTCAGCCTCGGCCTCAGCCTCAGCCTGCCTCAGCCCCAGCCTGCATCAGCCTCAGCCTCAGCCTCAGCCTCAGCCTGCCTCAGCATCAGCCTGCCTCAGCCTCAGCCTCAGCCTGCCTCAGCCTCAGCCTCAGCCTGCTTCAGCCTCAGCCTCAGTCTGCCTTCAGCCTCGGCCTCAGCCTCAGCCTGACTCAGCCTCAGCCTCAGCTGCATCAGCCTCAGCCTCAGCCTCAGCCTGCCTCAGCATCAGCCTGCCTCAGCCTCAGCCTCAGCCTCAGCCTCAGCCTCAGCCTCAGCCTGCTTCAGCCTCAGCCTCAGTCTGCCTTCAGCCTCGGCCTCAGCCTCAGCCTGCCTCAGCCTCAGCCTGCATCAGCCTCAGCCTCAGCCTCAGCCTGCCTCAGCATCAGCCTGCCTCAGCCTCAGCCTCAGCCTCAGCCTCAGCCTCAGCCTCAGCCTGCTTCAGCCTCAGCCTCAGTCTGCCTTCAGCCTCGGCCTCAGCCTCAGCCTGCCTCAGCCTCAGCCTGCATCAGCCTCAGCCTCAGCCTCAGCCTGCCTCAGCATCAGCCTGCCTCAGCCTCAGCCTCAGCCTCAGCCTGCCTCAGCCTCAGCCTCAGCCTGCTTCAGCCTCAGCCTCAGTCTGCCTTCAGCCTCGGCCTCAGCCTCAGCCTGCCTCAGCCTCAGCGTGCCTCAACCTCAGCCTCAGCCTGCCTCAGCATTCAAAATGTGGCCCGGGAATGGAGTTGTGGGAACTCGAAGAACACGAAGTGGCCTACAGTACGCTCCGGGCATTCAAAATCATGCCCAGGAATGGAATTCTGGGAACTCGAAGACCACGAAGTGGCCTACAATTGGCTCCGGGCATTCAAAATCCTGCCCAGGAACGGAGTTGTGGGAACTCGAAGACCACGAAATGGCATACAGTTGGCTCCGGGCATTCAAAATCATGCCTAGGAATGGAGTTCTGGGAATTCGAAGACCACGAAGTGGCCTACAGTCGGCTCCGGGCATTCAAAATCATGCCCAGGAAAGGAGTTCTGGGAACTCGAAGACCACGAACTGTGCTACAGTTGGCCAAAAAAATGAGTCCCCGGTTTTCCGCGGCACCCGCCCGGATCCCGCCCAGACCCCCCTGGGGAGTCATGATGCTTTCTTTTGACCCTACTAGAAACCTATCAGTCTTCGCTGTTAGGTAATATGGCTCTCGCCTGAACGCCGCGCACATTAAGAAAATACAGAAGTTTCGCGGATTGGGGGCGGTTCCTCTTCAAGACGTTGCTCTCGCCTTAGCGCAGCGAACATTCATCTCAAATATTTGTCAAAGGTTCACGGGTTTAGGGCGGGTGGTGTTCAAAATGTGGCTCTCGCCTGAACGCCGCGCAAATTCGTTTCAAACATTTGCAAGCATCTCACGGATTGAAAGGGTTCCTGTTCAAATACTGGTTCTCGCCTTAACGCCGCGCACACCCGTCTTTCTTCAAGTTGCCAGAGTTTCACGGGTTCCCATAATCAAAATACCAGAAATCGTGCTTTGGAAGAACACAGGGTTAAGAGGGCGCCACAGCTACGTTGATTCGCGGTGTTGAAGTCCCAGGACTGGCGTTCTGGCACGGTTCTGGATCGCCAATGCGCAACAATCAGGTTTATCCTGGGCGTCGGAATCTCGAGAATACGGTTTCCGTATGTTCAGGATCTTGAAACGGTTGTCTTCCAACGGGGCTGTTCCTTCAGTGGACATGAACATTTGTAGGGGCCTGTGAAGAGACAACTTGGAGGGACGGTATATTCCAACATCGTTAATGACTCGTGGGAGTATGCTGGTCCTCCCCGTCCTTCTCCTCATACGCATCACCATCATCAGCAGCATCATCATAATCATCATCAACATCACCATCACCATCACCATCAGCATCATACTCATCATCATCATCATCATCATCATCATCATCATCATCATCATCATCATCATCATCATCGTCATAGCATCATCGCATCATCATCACCACCGCCATCGACATCGCCATCATCAGCATCATCCTCAGCATCATCATGCTCATCAAAAAACATCATCACACTCTCCATCACCATCATCATGTCAGTCCTCATCCGCATCACCATCAACAGCATAAGCATCCGCGTCAGCATCAACATCAACATAATCATCATCATCATCATCCGCAGCATCAGCACCATTATATATCAGCATAATCATCAGCAGCACCATCATCAGCCTCATCGCCAGCAGCATCATCACCTGCATCACCATCGTCATCGTCATCGTGGTTGTGATCGTCACCACCACCACCACCCCCACCATCACAATCAACATCATACTCGTAATCATCGGAATCATCGGATGGTTGTCACTCCTCCGCATCGTTATCCTCCTACGCTACCTTATCATCCTCCTCCTCCTCATCGTCATCATCTGTGTCGTCACCCCGGTCCTCATCATCACCACCACCCTCACCATCACCACCATCACTACCATCATCCACACCACAACCACCAGCTGCATCATGATCCTAAGCATCATCAGCATCATCATCAGCATCGTTATTAGCATACGCATCATCATCATCAACATCAGCATCAACATCAGCATCATCACCCCTCCCCGTAGCGAGGTGGCAGAGGATAGTGTTTCCGCCGCCCCTGGGAGGGCCACTTTCCGACACCTCTCACGAGGATCGTGGCCCCCGAGGGGGGGTGGGGGGGGGGCGACATCAAGGAACCCCCTCTTTTGATCGATAACCTTCCGAGATGACCCCAAGAGGCACTCCAAGGCTCCCAAGAGAGCCCCAAGCGAACCCCTCTTGGGCCCCAAGAGGGTCCCAAGAGGGCCCCAAGAGGGCCCCAAGACGGCCCCAAAAAGCCCCCGAGCGGCCTCAGAGAGCCCACGGCGACCTCCAAGATGGCTCAGGTTTTCCCGTCTGCTATCATGGGCAAAGCTTCTGAATGGGCTGGTGGGGATACCTTTTTGATCGCAAGCGCGCCGGGGGGCTGGGCGCCGTCCGAAGCAACGCAGCTAACGAGCAGCGGTCAGAATTCCGCGGCAGAGGAGGAAAGAGGAACAACGCGGAGGAAGAAGCGAGGCGTCAAGAATTGCGAATGGGGTACGCGTCAAGACTTGCAAAGCGAGGCGTCCAGAATTGCGTCAAGAATTCAGAGCCAAGGCTGGTGGGGATACATTGAATTGTCGCGACTGCAGGCCAACGGGTCCGACAGCGTCAGCAGAGTTAGCTCGGGTTACGAGCAACCTACTTGCTGGCGCGCCCGCCGAGCAAGCGGGCCAAACGCACCGCCGAGGGAAGCCGCTGCGCCGGGGCTGAGCTGCGCCGAGCGGTGGGAGCTGCCAGCTGTGGAGGCAGCTGGAAAGTGCAACATGCGGGTACCATGGGAGCTGAATCACCAGGCACGAGAATTAGGCCTGCTCGTGGGGATGCTTCTTTGATCGCGACCGTAGCGACAAGTCGCTCGGCGTCATGTGCTGGTGGACATACTGTTTTGGTCTGCGGGCTCGCGAAGCAGTCCAAACACTAGTCGGGCCGCGACTAGGCAGCAAGAGAAAGGCAAGCAAAGTGAGCGCGCGGGCAGCCACTCAGAGGAAGAAGAACCAGAAACAAAACTCCCAACACCGTCGTCATCGTCACCGTGAATGTCACCGTCACCGTCGTCATCGTCATCGTAATCCTCCCTCCCAGCATCAATCCATCCCCGCTCCCTCCCCTACCTCCCTTCTTCTCCCCTTCCCCCATGGGGAGACCAAAAGGTCCCGATACCTGGGGGTGCGTTCTGACTAGAGGGCGAGTCTAGCCGTGTGGCGATCAGGGCCTCGCAGGAGACCCCCAAAACGCTAAGCGAAAAACGACATCGGTATACCCTTTCCTCCCCTCCCGCTCCCTCTCCCCCTTCCCTCCCCACCTTCCTTCTCGTCCTCCTCCTCCCCCCCTTCCTCCTCCTTTTCCTCCTCCTCCCCCTCCTCTTCCTCGTCCTCGTCCTCGTCCTCGTCCTCGTCCTCCTCCTCATCCTCCTCCTCCTCCTCCTCCGTCTCCTCCTCCTCCTCCTCCTCCTCCTCCTCCTCCTCCTCCTCCTCCTCCTCCTCCTCCTCCTCCTCCTCTTCCCCCAGGACCCCTCCTCCTAACCACGCGGGCGCCCCCCGCAGGGCGGTTGAAAGACGGCGCATCCCCGGCCTGTCCCCCCACGCCGGGAACGCGCGGGGCGCGCCGGCGGCGTGTGGCGGCGTCCTTCGAGAGGGGGCGGCGCGCCGGCGCTGCGCACCCCCGCTGGCCTTCCGTCACGCGACGACGGCAGCGGCTGCGGCGGCGGCGACGACGGCGGCGGCGGCAACCCGATCGCCGACGATATGAGTTTCGTCGGTGTTCCCCGGTTTTCCAGACCCGAGGTGCGTTCGAGCAGCTGCGCCTCGCCGGGAGCGTTTTGGGGGTGCCCGGACCGTCCCGCACAGCCCACGGCCGCTGGAGGCCAGGATGATGACCCGAAAACAAATTCGATCCCGACGTGTTTCCTGTCCCGGATTTTGGCCTCAGGGGCCCCTGGTCAGGGCCACAGGGCCATCAGAAATGGATCTGGGGGACAGGCCAAAAATTACCCCCAAGGAAGGGGCCAGCACTTAGGGGGAGCGCTTTGAAAGTATCCCATCGTCGCATCGATCTAAGGGACGGCTGCGGCGGCAGCCGGGGACGTCGGTATAGCGGCGACGAAAGCAGACGTTGGAAGCGGCGGCGCCGGGGGAGGTCGCACGCGTGCCGAGGCTCAGAGGAGAAAAAAGGGAAAGGGAAAATATAATAATACAGGACAGCTGGCTCAAACAGTCGGTTTGAATCAGAAGGGTCCCGTGAGGGTCGACACCAATCCTGACAAATTACCTGGAAACGTATCCAGCCGACTCTAAACAGATGGCGCATAGTTGTAAAGAAACTCACTTCAAACAAACAAATTGGAGGGCCCGCAGTGCGCACGAACTTTCATAAGCACGCAAGGAAGCATGCACGAATAAGCAAGATATATACATATGCGAAGCATGCAAACAAAGGTTTGAAGGAGGGACATGTATGCTCAGCAACCGCAACAACACCGAACGCTACATCCGCGGGAAAGATCCGCGCCATGCGCGTGTTCTATAGCAGAACAGCAGAACAGCGCGTCGCGCTGAGCAAGCAAGCGCGGGAGGTGGCATAGCGGGCCAAAGGCAGCTGGGGATGGGGGGCCACGCGGACAAAAAGAATAGCGCCACGCGTTGCGTGGCGCAGGTTTTCTTTGCGAGCTGCGGTGCGACAGCGCCAAACGCTGCGTGACGGGGCAGCGCCGCGCGGTTTCTTGCGTAGTCCGCTGGACCCCCCAAGAGCCCGCCAAAGTGGCGACAATTGCGCAATTCGCAGCCACGCAGGGAGCCGCGAGGTCCCAAATGGACCCCCGCACCACTTCACTCCGCTGGACCTCCCAAGAACCCGCGAACATGAAGACAATTGCACAACTCGTAAACCTTCGAAGAGCCGCGAGGACCGACCCGGGTCCGCGCACCGCTCCACTCCGCTGGACCTCACAGGAACCCACCCAGGAACCCGCGAAAGCATTCGCCGGCACGCAGGGCACCGCGAGGTCGCAACTGGGCCTGCGAACCACTCCGCTCCGCTGGACCGCCCAAGAGCGCGCGGAATGGGCGGGAAATTAAGCAAGTCGCAACCACGCAGGGACTCGCGAAGTCCAAACTGGGCCCGCGTACCAATCCACTCCGCAGAAGTTCGCTCGCATCTCCGCTCGTCCGCTCGAGGAGCGCGCGAAAGTGACGCAATTGCGCAAATCGCAACCACGCAGGGAGCCGCGAGGAACCCAATGGGCGCGCGTGCCGCTCCACTCCGCTGGACCTCCCAAGAGCCCGCGAAGATGAAGGCAATTACAAAACTCGTAAACCTTCGAAGAGCCGCGAGGACCGACCCGGGCCTGCGTACCACTCCACTCCGATGGGTCTCCCAGGAGTCCACGAGAGCGGCGGAATGTGCGAACGTCGCGATCACACAATGAGCCGCGAAATCCCAACAGGGCCTGCGTACCACTCCGCTCCGCTGGGCCCCCCAGGAACCAGCGAAAATGGCGAAACGTGCGCAAGTCGCTGCCTCGCACGGAACCGCGAGGTCCCAGCTGGGCCCGCGTACCACTCCACTCCGCTGGACCTTGCCAGAACCCACCCAGGAACCCGCGAAAACATTCGCCGCCACACAGGGAACCGCGAGGAAGCAACTGGGACTGCGAACCACCCCTCTCGGCTGGACCGCCCAAAAACGCGCGAAATGGGAGGGAAATTAAGCAATTCGCAGCCACGCAGGGAAGCGCGAAGTCCAAACTGGGCCCGCGTACCACTCTTCTCCACTGGAATTACAAGGAGTGCGCGGAAGTGACGCAGTTGCGCAGTTCGCAACCACGCAAGGCGCCGCGAGGTCCCAAATTGGCGCGCGTGCCACTCCACCCCGCTGGACCTCCCAAGAACAACGAAAATGGCGACGGTTGCACAATTCGCTGCCTCGTAAAAAGCCGTGAGGTCCCAACTGGGCCCGCGTATCAGTCCACTCCGGTGGGCCTCCCAGAAGCCCGCGAACGCGGCGACAGCTGAGCTCCCAACCGGGCCCGCGTACCATCCCACTCCGCTGGGCCTCCCAGGAGCCAGCGAAAGCGCCGACAGCCGCGCAAGGCTCAGCCCTCCAGAGACGCCATCAGGGCGAAGGCGAGGAGTCCCGGCGAGGAGGGAGGAAAATGAGGAGGAAGAGCACGCCTAAAGCAGGACGCAGGATGCAAGGGGCAAGAGGGGGGAAGAAAGAAGAAGGAAGGAGATTCAACCACAATGTTTGATTGAGAAGCCAACGCAGAAGGCTCGGGAAAACCATGCGTCGGCGTATTTTGACCGCCCAGTTGGCGCGCCTTGACTTCATCGGGGCCGGACGAGGCGATGACGGCGCGGAGGCTGCCCACCTGGGCGGGGGGGAAGGGCGCAGAAGGGGGAAGGGCGCGCGCGACTGAGGGGCGACGACGACGACGACAAATCATCCATGCTGACGGGCCAGCGGGCCTCGTCGTCGGCGCAGCGGTCAGCCGCGCGCCCCCCCCCATCGGGGGCAAAGTCGAAACGCAAAGCGAAGGGCACGATCTGAATACATGCGCGAATGGGGAGGCGGCTAGCTCGGGGGCCTCCGAGGAGCTGCACGGTAAAACGGCGGCGCGATCAATGCCAGCAAGCAAACGCATTCTCAAGAGGAAAGGGGTCTCAAGAGCATTCGAAATACTATCGCGCACACGGCGGCATCCTAAGCAGCGAGAAAAACGATCGGCCCCTGGGCGCCCACAGAAGATGCCAGGCAGCGTGGGCACCCGGCAAAGAGCAGAACAACGCCGAACGTTAAGGAAGGCTTCGGAACGGAATCAAGTATACATCTGCAAGCCAGGGCTTCATGGCGAAACCCAGAACGGGATCAAAATGCGCAACATTGCCGGGCCCCGAAAGCAACTTCATCCGATGCAGCAGGGCAACGCGATATCCCGCGGGAGAACGGAAACGCAACCACCCCTCAGCGACACTCTGGGCCCGAAGCGCACCGGGCACAGGCGCGCCAGAAGGACGCGCAGCTGATCGCAGCGAGACATGAGAAAGCGCACCACCGCACCTTCCACGAAATATTTTCCCACAATAAAATCGGGCACTCGTCGCTTTCAGCCGCGGCGCAAATGCGAGTGCGAACGCGGAATAAATCATTGGAATTGGAATGGACAACGCAGGGGAGACCAACTCCAGCTTGATCGGCTGGGTCGACACGCCACCTCGGACGATGGGTCGAGCATGACAATGCCGCGGGCATTCTGTGGGCAGCTAACTATCATTTGCCCAGCTAGAATAACTGAATGACAGAGAAAAAAAGACACCTGACTGCGTTCTAATTAAAGATAGCCGAGCCCTTGGTCACACCGAGCCCAGGAGCCTTGATTTCACGAGTCCCCGACAGGCACTTGCGCAGGGGCGCCCTCCAAGACGTCGCAGGACCACCGCTCCTGAGAAATAAATCAGGAGGTCGTTGGGCGGAAAAACCATCTGGAATAGCATCGGGGCTGCGTCGGCGGGCCCCCGACCCTCGTCAGCAATGACCTCAGCCAGCAGGAAGATCGCTGACTTACCGCGGTTGAACTCTTACCCAGCTGGACGCGCAGAACGTTCGGACACAGGTGGCACGAGTGCTGGTGAAAGGAAGACATCCTGGGCGACCGCGCCACAATCGCGGGCGCGGGCCCCCAAGACTGACGGAGCCCCGTGGCGCCAGTGTCCGGGCGAGCGCAGCGCCGGGCCCGCGCGTCACCGAAGGGCGACGATGCGAGAAGACAGTCTGGCACGGCCCACCAACCATCTTCTCGAGACCCGCCAAACAACGCAGGAACCCAGGCTTCACGATCGAGGGCAACAACTGCGCGACGAACCTCCCCCGGGAATTTCATTTCGCCCAAGACTGATCGCGGCGCGGGGGTGGTGGCGGGGTTGGCAAACTCCACATCGAACGCGCCGTGACCCGCGCGCCGCAACCTGTCCTGCGCGAATCATTACATTGGCCCTGGACTAAGGACACAATGCTGTTTGCGAAACCCCGCGCCGACTGCGCAGCGGACGCGCTGATCGTCAGATGCGCCGGGCGCGCTTGACCGCGTCTCAGGCGGCCCGCGAAATGCGCGGCCCACCGCGTCGCTCCGGGGTCCAAGGCGGCCCCAGATATCGTAGGAATGCCTCCCCGAGGCCAGGCGCTTCACACGGGGCCGCGTCGGGCCCCGGGAGCGAACCCCCCGGGTTCAGTGCGGAGGCACAGAATTCAGCGAGTTCCGTCTCTCAGAGATGTCAACTAGCAACGAGCAACTAGCAAACAAGCAACGAGATGCCTGCTTCTGGCTTCTGGGCCGACGGCCTCTCGGGTGCCTTGATTTCTGCGAGCTGCCCCGCGATCGGCGCGGCCATGAATCTGGCCAGGCGGGCGCGGCGACCCCGCGCATCGAGCCGCGCGCCGGAGAAGAAAAGAACAACCGCTTCTGCAGCTCAGGACAGGCCCCGGGGCGCGCTGCAGGCAGACGAATCAAATGAACCTTGCCGGGTGGCGCACGGGGCCGCGGGGGCCCAGCGGGCCTTCTCCTCGATAGCAGGTGCGCCTCCGGCGCGGGCGTAGTCAATGACGTCATTGGCGGCGGCCTGGGCGACGTCCTCGGCGCCCTCGGGGGCGCCGCGCGGGTCGGCCCCCGCTGCGAGAATCTTTCATGCATCGCGCCTTCGGCGGCCCAGGAAGGGGGCCAACGACCTCCAGGGCGAGACCGATGCAATGCCGATACTAATGCAATCGATCTAGCCGCGCCAAGGGCGCCCGCGCGGGCCCGTCGCCGCTCGCGCCCGTCGCGCGATGGTTGAATGATCGCGTGCGATTTCTCAAAGACAAGGGAAGAGGGCTTCCACGTGCTGCGCCTGACTACAGCCCCGACGCCCCGCCCCCCCAGTCACGCAGCACGACCCCCTCCTCAGCGCGGAAATCGAAGTCGCCGACCGGAAGGCTGCGCAGGCGTCGGCGCGAAGCGAGCGAACGCGAATACGCCGAAGACTTCCTTCTGGCTGCGCTACGGCGCTGCTGGGATCGATTTGGGCGTTATACACGCGGAAACTGCCGTGGACGCCACGCATTAATGCCCCCCCGGCACCAGGGCGCTACCATGGAGGGCGCGACATCGCGCCCGAGGCCACGAGCGTGTCTACCTCCAGCAGACCGGTGTTTGATAAAAGCACCTGTCCGGGAGAATGTCCGGGAACTCTTCCTCGAGCAGGTCGAAATCTCGCTGGGCCCCGCGGGCCGCCTGGGCACGGGCGGGCGACGGACGTCGCGACCCCGGACCAATCGAAGCAGCTGGTTAATTTGCTGCCCATGCGTAGAATCGCTGGCGGCGCGCCCTCCAGCAGGAGATCTTACGTTGCAAATCACAACCGAGAAATCGGCGCTGGGGTAACATGGCTTGCCCGCACAGGATGGGAGGCTTGCCCCAGGCAGGAAAGGCGGGGTGGGCGAGCTGGAACTGAAAGAAGGAGTGGAAGCCGAAGAGAGAAACAAACCGCGCTTGCAGGCCTGGGATTCGACACTGATGCTGACCGCCGCCTGGCCCGCGCAACTGAGGGCCGCGCAGTCGAAGTGGCCCAGCACCCGCGCGGGTCAAACGCATGTTCGGGCGCATTGGGCACAGTGAAACCCTATCCGACGGCACTCCGAGACCGGTGACTCGATCTGGTCATTGTCCACCTCATGGAATTTGAACATCTCACAGTCTGGCTCCAGATTGGCGGACGTGCTGGCGCGTTCTGACATCGACTGTAAGATGTAGACTACCTTGTCCTTGGTTCCCGGTCAATCAGTTTATGCCCACTCACATACCAGCCAACGCCATTGCCGATCTTCTCGCCAGGAATGCACAATGCTTCGAATCGCGCTGCCACGCTCTGCCTAGAACCACGTTGCGACGACAGAATGAGTGTTAGCGTCGCGACGGGTACGGGATGGTGTAGTTAACGCCCTTGGCGTTTTGGAGCATTAAACACGTGTTCTTGACATGTTCCACAAATTGTATCGCATCGTTGGCAATCTCGAACGAAAAGGCTGACATGTTTCGTGGAGGTTGTGGGCGGCGATGGAGGTCGGACGCTTGATGTGCGACGGTGAAAGATGCCATGACATGCGCGAGCATGGTGGATTCGAAACGGCCGATCCAAATCCCTCTGGGACCGGAGTCCTGCTCGCGTTTGTCCGAGCCGGTGAACGCCGACGAACGAGGCCCCACAGACTGCCCGCGCTGCCGCCTGGGAGAACGGAGGCCTGAAGCACTTGAAGACGACCAGGAAGTGCCTGAGCGAGTGCTGGTTGCTTCTCGACTGGACTGGCTCTCAAAAACTCTGCCCTGGAATTGGCAAGTGGCGTTGCTTCCTGGGCTGCGTCTAGCCTTTCGGGCATCTGAGCCTCTAGCGTGGACATCCTGTCGTTGAGCACGTTGTAATTATCTTCGCACTTGTTGACCGCTATTCTGAACATTTCGATACTTGACGTGGTAGCCATGTTAGACCCAATGCGTTGCAGCATTGCCACGATGGGGTCGGCGCGCCCCTCGCCGTCGGAAGCATTCGACCGAACATGACTGCCCCCATCACTAGACATGGCGGCATCACCTGGCATCGCACGTATGGTGTCCGTCTGGAGTGGGAGGAAATATTCAGCGGAGAAGGGCGAGCTGAGGCACTGGAAACGCAGAATCGGATCAACATCTGTCACCACACCCCTCCCGAGGTCCGACCGTACCAGTTGTCCGAGTTGCATGGCGACGAGGGCCCCCTGGAGACTAACTGCTGTTCTCCCAAACGGCCCTCAACTGAATTCAAAGCCTGCTGCACAAGCGCAGCACCACGCTCGCCTCAAGGGAGGGGGAGAGGGAAAGCGCCAGGTCTTTATCGTCGCACTCGACGTCGTCGTCGTCATCATCGTCGTCGTCATGACGTCGTCATCGTCATCGTCGTCGTCGTGTGGGCGGCGCTCCTCGCGCTCGCGACCTCCTCGCCGAGGCGCGCCGTCCCTCGCAGGGAGCCGTCCTCGCGCTCGCCTGGCCGCGGGGCGCGTCTCGCCGAGGGGCCGCGGACCCCGAGCAGACAAGGCCGGTGGAGCGCACCGCATCGCCGATGCATCGAACGGAGCGCGCATCAATGAATCGGCGATGTCCTAACCCGGGTCAATCAGACCCGGGTCAGCAAGAAACCAAAAATCTGCAATGCAGGGCTGCGCGCACCGCATCGCCGATGCATCGCACGGAGCGCGCATCAGTGGGGGGGATCTGCTGACCCGGGTCAATACAGACCCGGGTCAGTCGGGCCTTGCAGAATCCTGCAAGATCCTGCAAGGTCCTGCACCCAAATCGGGTCAATGCGAAAGATCCTGAAAGATCCTGCAGGATCCTGCACCCAAACCCGGGTCAATGCGCCCCTGTCCCTGCAGGATCCTGCAAGATCCGGCGCTCTGGCTGACCCCCGTTTGCACTGACCCCCGTCTCAAGGCTCCCGATAATGGGGGAGCAATGAATGTCTGGTGGCAGCTCATGGGAGCCTCCCATGCCATCTTGTCGGCCCTCGCGAATCGACGCTAATCGACGCCAGCTCGACGCTAAATCGACGCTGGATCGACGCTGATCGACGCTGAGTCGACGCTGAAGCGACGCTGGCCGGCGCTAATCGACGCCAAGGACGGAGTCCAGAGGGGACACGAGGCTCCCGTGATTTGCTACCAAATGAATTGGGGGGGAGAAGTGTGCTCTTCTCGGGCCCTGACGGCCCCTTTCAGGGCCCTACAGGGCCCCTTCCGGGGGCCCTGAAAAGTGTCCCTCTTTCTGTAGCCGTCGCTGCCCCCCGCACTCATCGCCTCCCCAGTGCTCGCGCCCCCCAGTCTACGATGAAGCCAATCCGAGGATACAATCGGGTGAGGGTAAATCGATAATACCCCCCAATCTAAGACGAAGCCACTACGAGGAGAAAATTGGGTGAGGGCAAATCGAGAATCCCCCCCAATCTAAGACGAAGCCAATAGAGGATAAAATCGGGTGAGGGTAAATTGAGAATATCTAAGATCCCGCGGCTCTGGAGAATGTCTCGGGCGCCGCAGCGTTTGGGCTTCGGATCGACTGCGCCAGGACGCACAACGGTGCCATGCATACATCGGGCCGTATCGGGACGTCGGACAATCGGAATCCGATCGGATCGGGCTGGCCGGAATCAATATTCGGAACGATCTCTGAGCTGATGAAATGGACGCTGGGATGAGAGGCTTCGAAATATGTTCACTGCGTGTTCCCCGAGAAATTCCCAGACCCCTCGCGTCGTGAAAAAGCACGACGGACGGTGCTTCGCTATGTTTGGCCTCCGGGGCCCTAACCTGGGCTCGGGACCGTCAAACAACAACTCAGGATGACAAACCAGTCACCTGGAAGGGGTCCAGACCTCTGGGGGTCAACGTTGTGAATTAGCCTGGCGAAAAAGCGAACCCTATGTAATCGAAGTGCAGCTATGAACAGGAAGGGGTGTGCCGACATGGGCTCGGGACGTCCTGCGAGCACGCCCATCGAGGCCGTAGACGGAGCCCCCTGGGGGCCACGAGTCGTGTGATGCATGTGCCGACATGGGAGCGAAGGTGTCAGGTGAACACGCCAACTGGGGCCAGATCTTGAGCTGGGGAAACCAGAAGGTACCGCTACCACTAGCCCACGGACCTCTCCCGGGGTGCTCTGACCAGAACTTCGAGGCGGATCCAGCGGTGGTGACGAGGGCCTCCCAGGAGGCCCTCAGAGGGAAAAGCGGCCGAAGGGTAGCGGTATTGGTACCTTTTCTTTCCCTGGTGAGCTCCCCGTGGGGCCACGAAACGCACGACGGAGTCCCGAAATGGTCGCGGGGACGCCCTGCGAGCACGCCCGCTGTGGCCGCAGATGAGCCCCCTGCCGAGCACGAGCCGCGTGAGGGGTGTGCCGGAATTGGCGCGGCGACGCCGTGCGAGCACGCCCACTGAGGCCCCAGGTGGACACCCCTGTCGGCCACGAAACGTGACTCCTCCTCCGCCTCCTCCTCCGCCTCCGCTTCCGCTTCCTCTTCCTCCTCCTCCTCCTCCTCCTCCTCCTCCTCCTGAGGGTGTGCCGAGATGGGCTCGGGGACGCCATGCGAGCACGCGCACTGTGGCCATGGGTGGAGCTCCCTGTGCAGGCGGGAGACGCGTGAGAGGCGCGCCGAAAGGAGCGCAGCAGAGCAGTAGGAGCGAAAGCCATGGGAGGAGGGAGGAGGAGAATGAGGAGAGGAAAGGGGGAAACGATGAAAGGAGGAGGAAGGAAGGGGGGAAGAGGAAAAGGAGGAGAAGGGTGAGGAGGGCGAGGAGATGAAGAAGCGAGCCGCGCGGCGCAGCGATTGCAAAACAAGGACCCAACACACGGCATGGCTGAGGGATCGAAACAAAATATGACGTTGGGGAACTGTTCAGACCGCTTCTCTGGGGACGGGCGTCTCTTTCTGAATCGTGTTTGTTGACGGCCCTGGGGCCCAGCAGTACCCCCTGACGCAGAAAAGGGGGTCAGACACCGACCGTGGGTTTTTTTTGTTCTGCGGCGCGAGGAGACTGAAGAGGCCGCGCCTCATGATCAGAGGGGCGGGGGGGGCGCGTACCAGGCGTCAGCGCGCCCGGCGTCAGCTGCTGGTTCGGGCTCTCCCCGGCGGCCCCGGGGTTCCTGACGCGGCCCGCGCGTGCGGAACTGCGGCGGGAGCAAGCAACGCTACGCTGCTTCCTCTGCAGACGAATATTGCTCCAGTCTCTACTCGTTTTCCGCCTTCTCCACCCTTTGCTTCTGCTCCTCTCCACGCATCCTCCATCCCATCCTGGTTAACCCCTCTTCTTGCACAAGCTCGTCCGCCAGCCCCTCCTCCTTTTCCTTCGCCGACGTACCTATGCTCCTCCTCATCCCCCGAACTCCGACTCCTACACCATTATTGGGAGACTCGGATCGGGCTTCATCTCTCAAGGTTTACCCAGGCCCACTGCGAGTATTCGCGTGCGATTAAATAGACTGCGCCCCCTCCCCGTGGACGACATCAAGCCGAGATGTTGCTGCAGAGAGCTAAAGAGCTTACACAAGAACAGATGATGGTGATGGTGTCCAGAGCGCAGAACTTCCAGCCCCAACGTCGTTATATGCCTGGATCTGCGTTGCGTAAGTCCGACGAGCTCCTAGAATCAACCAGCGAGAGGTGCCATACTCACTGAGTGGCGTGACCTAAGATGTCCGCCCATCCTGCCAAGCGCGCATGAGTTATCTGGATAACCTTCCCGCATAGGTGTTGTGGCTGGTGTGGACCGCAAAATTGTTGTGACAAAGGAGGCGCACCAGCCGGTCGCCGTGCTGGACGGCATCGGGGCAGATAGGGCACTCCCTATCGTCGCCACCGAACTTCGTCACTGAGGGAGGCGGAAGAATCGGCGCAGCGGCTGGCACAGGAGCAGGATTAACTAACAGGTGTCTCTGTCCAATTCTGCGCGGCCTGCCGTGCGAGCTCAAACTCGCGCTGTGTGCTGTGGAGCTCGTCGAGGTGCCGTCGTTGTGTGCGGTCGAACGTGGCGTGTGCGTTGCGGTCGGGTCGGCCGCCGCTGAACATCCAGGTACCGAGGCCGGCGAACCACGTGGCCACTCGCCCAGGCGGTTGGCTCACTCGACGGGGCTGTTCTGATCGAGCGGAGCCAAATCCTGGGGAGACTCCAGCACTGGCGGTGACATTGTTGCCGGTGTGGACTGTGGTGGCCACGTGGAGCTCGATCCACATGGCGTGCTGATGGCGAGGGATGAAATTGAGGGAGTGCAAGCCATGAAAATGAGGGAGTGCAAGCCCAGCTTGGCAACTGCACGTCGGCTGACAGTATTGGGGGCGCGGCGACCGACCCGTGCGTTGAGGTCGCCTATCCTGTTGAGGCGCGTCCCTTTATTTTGTCCATGTGGGAATGCACCGGCCACTTGTGTCCACCACTGTTGTGTTGTTGTTGGTGGTGGCGCCGCTGATGCTTGTGGAGCTGCTGGTGCTGTTGGTGCCCCTGAAGCTGGTGCGGCTGGTGGTGTTTGCCCCGCTGCCGCCTGACGGCCCGGTGACGTAGTCGCCGGAACCGTCGGTGCTGAAGAGGTTTGTGCACGGCCACGAGGTCGGCCATCTCCTGTCGTAGTCGTCGTAGTTCGTTCGGTTTCGTGCCGTGAGGGCGCAGACGATGGCGTTGTCCCTGCCCAAGCTGACCAACTGTTGTTGCCAATGGGCTGCCACGAGCCGTCCGACGAAAAACTCGGAGTAGCCGCTGTTGTTGCTCGGAGGGTCCCAGCGGTCCTTGCTGTCCAAGAAGAGTAAGTGGTGAGGATAATGGCGCTGATGGTGTTGCTGGGGCGTAAGTGTTGAGGAAGAAAGCGCGCCCTTGTTGGCGGCGCCGGGGGCAGTCGCGCACGAGGTGCTCCTCGGAGCCGCACTCGTGGCATTTGAGACGCACCCCATCGGGACCCCTGGGCTTGCCTTGGCGGCCAAAACCCATGCCCGCGGTCCTAAACTTCCCCTTCCCCTTACCTTTCCCTGCCCGAAACCCGCGAAACAACTCCTGGAGGTCGTTCTCGGACAGGGTGGCTGGGAAAGAGCGGTAGTTTCTACCCTTGCGGGTTTGTGGTTGTCGGGGCTGCGCCGGCGCGCTGTGCCGCGGTCGTAAGCCCAAGAGAGGTGCGCATCACGTTGTTCCACGGGAGTGTCGCGTAGATCGGGGTCGTCGGCGGGCTGGCGGTGTCGGTGCCGGTGCCTGGGTCGGCTTCTGCTGCCGGGAGTGTCCCTGTGCCGGGGGTGCCGCGCTAGAGGCGCAGCTTCTAGACGCAGCCTCGGCTGGTACAGGGGGACTTGGTGCAGATCCCACTGCAGCAGGACCCATGCCGTCCCAGCTCTGGTTCTGCGCGTCCGTACCCGCAAGGAACGTGTGCTGTTGGGCAGTGTGGACCGCCGAAACAAGGTTGCCAGGTGATCCCTCTATCATGTTCCCAAAGCGCTTCAGCTGGCCCGTCATGTGGGTGGGCCGTTGAGCGGTCGTGGGGTAGGCCATGTTGTAGTGCTGTAGGAGCATAATAATTGAGCGTTCGGCACGGCAACTGCGCGCAGCAAGAGGAAACGGAGCCCCTCGCTGCCGATCATGACTTGATCAGCTTGCTGCGCCCGATTGCGGAAGATGTCGAACCTCGTCAGGAGGTTGTCGATGCGCTCCTGCGGCATTCGGTTGAAGGACATCAGAGCCGATACTGCCGACGTGCGTTCCTCCTCGCCCAGCTGGCCCCATCGTTCAGCCAAGCTGTCCATTAGAAGGTCATCGGTGGCAATAGGTTGCCGTTGATGCGTCCTCCCTGGGCCAGGACAGCTGGCGGCTATTCGTCCACGTGCCCGCGCGCCATGATGGTGAGGCGCAACGAGACATAGGCTGCCTGGCGAACCTCACCTCGCGAACTCTTCGGGAGGGCTTAGGCTCGAGCGTAGGACAGGGAAACGCTGCAACACATCACCCTCAACTTCTTCCCCCGCCTCCGCCCCCCCCTCGTTCACCTTCCTCCTCGTGCTGCTCGTCCGCTTCGGGATCGCTTGGACTCTAGCGGAAGACAGGGGAGTGTTGCAGCACTTTGGCCACTCCTCCACCCCCTCATCTTCGTCCCCTCTCCTCCTCCTCCTCCTCCTCCTCCTCCTCCTCCTCCTCCTCCTCCTCCTCGCCCACCGTCCACCTCGTGTTGCTCGTCCTCCTCCTCCTGCTCCTCATCCTCCGCCACTTCTTCCTTGATCTCCTCCTCCTCCTCCTCCTCCTCTCCTCCTCCTCCTCCTCTTCCTCTTCCTCTTCCTCTTCCTGCTCCTCCTCCTCATCAGCATCTTGATGGACCATGGGACCCTTCCTGTCCGAATCCTCCTGTTGCTGCTACTCCTCCTTACCTTCATCGCTGTCCTCCTCTTACTCCTCCTCGTCTTCCCGAGGAGAGGAAGCTCTGAGGAGGGCAACGCTTTGTGGCTAACAAGGAAGGGGAGGGAAAATAGAGGGAACGGGAAATTGAGGAGAGGGGGGACCCAGAGGTCCCGAACCCAGACCCGGGGCGAGTCCTCTTGCCCCGGATCCACTCCTGCTGGCCCCGTGGGACCCGAGAAGGGGCCCCAGAGGCCGAACTCGAGAATCCACGCCCAGATTGAACAAAAGCATAGGACGCACAGTGTCATACTAGTAACTAGTACTATACGTCCTCCTCGGCGGCGCGCGTCCGACACGAACATCTAGTATACTCGTATTGTAGTCTATAATTTCCCGAGCGGTGTGGCCAGAAAGCGCGCCCGCCACGACGCACATACTATCCGATGTCTCGGTGCGCGCGTCGCCCCTGAGGGGGCGACGCGCATATAGTATACAGTAGGGGCCCGACCACAAGAAACCTTCCACAAGAAACCCAACCCTGAGAACCCGGGACGTCCATTGACTTTTTGGTGTGGGAACGCCACGCTCTCCATCGCAAAACCACCGAAACCCAAGAAACCCAGGGCACGCTGGAGGCAAGCAGGGTGTTTCTTGGCATGGGCACCCACTGTACGCCCTGCTGCCTCGGGCATGGAGGCCTTGTGCATCGACCCTGGGCCCAGGACGGCCTGGCCAGGATCAGTGCGCGTGCACATGTTTCATCCTCCTCCTCCCTCCTGCCTCCTCCAACCTCAACCTCCCCCTCCTCACCCTCCTCACCCTCCTCCTCATCCTCCTCCTGCTCCTGCTCCTCCTCCTCCTCCTCCTCCTCCTCCTCCTCCTCCTCCTCCTCCTCCGCCTTCCACTGCAAGTTTGTGGGGGCGACGCCGAACACGGACCGTCGGAGCTCCAATCCGCGGCCGCTCGCTCAGGGGGAGGGGGGAGGGGGGGGGGGCGAGCCCGGCGCCCCCGGGGCAACGCCCTCGGCGAGGCGCAGCTGCTGCAGCGCACCCCCGAGGCTGGCAAACCTCCCTGGGCGGCGCGCCGGGGGGGGGGAAAGAGAAGACCTGGGCCTCCTTTGACCATGGACCGACCGTCCCGGGAGGTCTGTAGCCCTACCACGAGATGTTCTTAGAGCCCCAGAGATGTTCTAACAACAAAAGCAATGTTCTTAGAGAACATAAGCCCGACGTGTTAAAACAAGACAAACTCACTCAACCAGAGATGTTCTAAGAACAGTTCGTGCAAAACACAAGAAGTTCTTAGAACATTGTCTGGTGGGCCTATCGGCGAGCCAGGACGCTTCGCCACTGCTTGAAACTTCTCAGAGGGTTCGGGAATCCCCCGGCCTCCTGAGAAGTGTTCTAAGCCTTCCCCGAAGACGCAACAAAACTTCTCGGAAGGCCGGCGGGGTTCTGAGAAGTCCCGCCGCCTCCTGAGAAGGCTCTCTCCTTCTCATTTCCCCGCCTCGCTCGCCGCCGACTACAGTCGGGGAGACGTAAGACTCGGGTTCGGGGGGTTCGGGTTGTCCTGACGGGGCTGTTAGGGAAAATGGCGAGACCCAGCCTGAAACTTGACGCGGGCCCCCGCTGCAAACATCCCACGCGAACTGGACCGGCAAAGTCCAGGTCGAGCCCGTCAACAAGCGTCGGCCACCCCGAGTTCCACCGCACTCTGAGTCTTACGTTTCCCCGATCCAGGAAGCGAGAAGAACGTCCAAAAACCTCGAACTCTGAACTTCGAAGGGCCCCGTGTTCGGCCCCAGAGGCTGGGAACGAAGAACAACGTACGGATGAGGACAAAAAACATCATCGGAGATCTGCCGTAATCTTCGACGCCCACGCCGACGGCGACGTCGACCACGCCGACGGTGACGTCGGCCACGCCGACGGCGACTTCGACCACGCCGACGGTGACGGAAACGTCGACGGAGATCTGGGGGTCCAGCTCCTCCTCCGCCTCCGCCTCCTCCACCTCCGCCTCCACCTCCGCCCCCTCCTCGTCGTCCACCTCCTCCTTATCCTCCTCCTCCTCCCCCTCCCCCTCCTCCTCCTCCTCCTCCTCCTCTTCCTCGTCTCCTCCTCCTCCTCCTCGTCTCCTCCTCCTCCTCCTCCTCGTCCTCCTCGTCTGATCTCTCCAGGTGTGCGTTCCGACCATAATTTCGAGGCGAATCCAGCCCTGGCGCCGAACCTTTTCATGCCCTGACTCTCCTCTTACACCTCCTCCTCCTCGTCGGGGGGGCGCGCTCCTGCTCGACAGCGGCGGTCCGCCGCTGCGCAGCACGGCGGGCGTCGTCCGCGTGAAGAGGTTGCCCGACCACGCGCCTGCGGCGGGCGCGAGGAGGAGGAGGAGGAGGAGGAGCAGGAGAAGGAGGAGGGGGAGGAGGAGGAGGAGGAGGAGGAGGAGGAGGAGGAGGAGGAGAAGGAGGAGGAGGAGGAGGAAGAGGAAAAGGCGGAGGAGGAGGAGGATGAAGAGGAGGGGGGGTGCCTGGCCACTCGCCTGCGGCGGGCGCCAGGAGCAACAGCAGAGCGCGAGCTGCCACCACCGCCGCTGCCTCGTCGCCTGTCGCCCTCGTGGCCGACGTCGGCGTCCGCGTCGGCGTCGGCGTCGGCGTCGTCGTCATCGTCGTCGTCATCGTCGTCGTCATCGTCGTTGTCGTCGTCGTCGCCGTCCGCGTCGTCCGCGTCGGCGTCGACTTCTTCTTCTTCTTCGTCGTCGTCGTCGCCGTTGTCGTCGTCGTTGGCGTCGGCATCGGCGTCGTTATGAAAATCGTATATCTCTCTCTCTCTCTCCCTCTCTCTCTCTCTTTCTCGCTCTCCCTCTCTTCTGATGGCTGGCTCCAGAAACCCTGGACCCACAAAGGTGACTTCGCTCGTGGGCGCATCTTTTGCTTCCGACGCCTTCCGCCGGCTTCCGCCAGCGGAGCCGCCCGCTTTTTACTCCAACCACCCTTCCGCCGCAGCATCCGAATATCTGACGCACTTCTTGTTCAGGCCCTCCCCCCTCCTCCTGCACCTCTTCCTCCTGCACCACTCCTCACTATCCTCTAGGCGCGCCGGCCGCGGCCTATGCAACGTGTTGGCAGCGATCGTCTGCCCATGCGTCCTACATGGACGCACGGTGATATTGTTCGTTTGTTATATGTTGTTTTTGTTATTTCTCTCTCTTTTGCTCTCTCTCTCTCTCACTCTCTGTATTAATTATTTATCTCTTGATGTATTAAAACGATATACATACACATATGTGTGCGAGAAACGTGATACGTGGGTCGCTGGCTCCAGAAGAGGTGGGCGAAAAGGCCTCCCGGCCTTCCGTGGCCTTCCGTGCAACAACAATATGGTACGTGGCCAGATCCGGGACAGGTCGGGCGACGTGACCTCCCATTGCCTCGCATTGCCGCCCCTGTCCATATCCCCATCCCTGTCCCCATCCCGATCCCTGTTCCTATCCCGAACCCTATCCCTATCCCTATCCCTCAATCCCGATCCCCACCCCTAACCCGACCTCCCCCATCGCGGTCCCCCATCGTAGCACTCCATCATGATCCCCCGTCCTGGCCCCCGTCGTAACTGCGTGAAGCTGCTTAGGGTCTTCTTCAAGGGGATTATGTGATGTTCCCCCCTGCATGTGCAGCGCAAGGAACGACGAAGAAAAGAGAATTTCTGTTGCAAACTGAATAGGATTCGAAAAATAACGTGTACTATCGCGCGCAGGTCCTAAACAATAGCATCCGACTCTCAATGGGCTGCCGCCGCCTCGTTCCGAACAGATCGCCCTATAACAACGGAGAATCAAGAAACGACCTCGAAACCGAGCCCCCCCGCGCAACTCACTAATGTGCACCCTGCATGCCTAGTGACAGCCACCCCTGCTCACCTCACTGTGCGAATCCCTCTGCCGATGGGCAAAGCCGCCCGCTGCTCATGCCCCTGCTCATCTCACTTTGCCCCAGGCCTGCGTCCTGGAGGCTACCGCCTGGCCGGGGAGCGGATCGGCCAGGACGGACAAGCTCACGAATTACAGGGCTCCGGGTCGGTGAGCAGTCTCTTCAACGTGCTAGGCTGGGGAAGGCACACACCTACACAGCCGCATCAAGGCGCTGCACTGCGGAGGTCAATACGTCGTGGGAACGTGCATTGTGAAGGCAAAGCCGCCCGCTTTGCCGCCGGGCTGTCCTGGAAGATGAAGCCCCTGCTGGAAACGGAACCATTCACACGGCCAAGCCCACGAAGTAAAGAACTACCGTGTTCTTGAGAAACTTCCAAGCGTGATGAGCTGGGGAAGGCTCGCTCGCATACGGTCGTATACCTCATAACGCGCGAAGGCCTGGAGTGAAAGCAGGACCGCCGACATTGCCGCCAGGCTAGGTATGTTCTGGAGGCTAACGCTTCGTCAGGGGACATAATCGCTCGAACTGACAAGCTCACGAAGTGCGGAGCTGCAATTCTATCAGCAACGCTACCGACGTGCTAAACTTGGGAAGGCTCACCTCTATACAGCCGTAGCAAGGCGATGCCCTGCAAATGTAAATGAGTCGTGCGAGCGTACATTGTGAAGGCGTGCATTGTCCTGGAGGCTACAGTCGCTGTCAGAGACGGGATCACTAGAACGGACAGATCCAGAAGTTCCAACGTGCAAGGTTGGGGAAGTCTTATCCCCATACAGCCGTATCAAGTATCAAACCGCTGCCCTGTGGAGGTAGAGGCCACCAACGTGCGAACGCCCAGTGTGAAAGCAGGACCGATAGCATTGCCGCAGGGCTCTGGGGGCGGAATCGCTTGAAGGAAGTGAAGGAGGAGGAAGAGAAGGAGGAGGAGGAAGAGGAGGAAGAGGCGAAGGAGGGGGGGAGGGGGGAGAGGGAGGAGGACAAGGGAGAAGAAGAGGCGAGCGGGGAGGGTGGAGGACGAGGAGAGGAGGGTCCCCTCCTCCCTCCGCGAAATCAACCCAAGGCCGTGGGACGCCCCCGCGCCCCTGCCGCTTCCACGGCCCCCGGCGCCTCCGTCGCAGCCGCCGCAGGAGCTGGCTGCGCGGACGGGCCGGGAGTGCCCCTCCTGGAGCAGCGGACAGGCTTCGTGGTGAGCTCGGTGAGCGGCGGCGGCGGCGGAGGCCGCGACCACGCGCTCTCGGCCACGGGCGACAGCGACGGCGACCCGACGGCCGCGACGGATAAGGCGGCGGCGGCGGCGAAGGCGACGGCCACGGCCACAGAGACGGCGGCGTAGCTGCGACGGCCGCGGCGACTGCACGGACGGGGACACGCGACGGCCGCGACTGCCACGGCAACGGCGGCGAGGGAGGACTTCTCGGAATATGGCTGCAAGACGCCCTAATCCCTTTTGGTAGGCCAAGCTTCCTGGTAGGCACCGCCCCAGAGAGCGCGGTAATCGCAAGCGCCCATCGCACTTGACACTCAAAGTGACGGCAATCACTAGACTGCACGAGGGTAAGCGCTGAGGGCCTCCCAGCGACGCCGCTCATTTACCAGGGGGGAATTGAGTAGCAGCAGCAGGCAGAGGCGGAGACTGGAGACAACGGCGGCGGATGAGACCTTGACCAAACACGTTCAGCAGAGCGGCCCCCCCGCGAGCGTGGCCACGGCCTGTGCCCATCCCGGAGACCAGAAACTCTGCCGTCAGTCTTGAGTCTATCCGTACTTCGCGGTTTAGATCGTGCCAGATGCTGTCTGGACGCGACTTCGGTGTGAGTCCCATTTCGTGACTCGTGGCCGGGCGCACTGACGCATTATGAGGCTACCACTTGCAACCCATGACTGAATGAATCCAACCAGCTTATGTGCCAACCTATTCCCCTCAGGGGAGGGGTTTGCCCGTCCCTCTTACTCCTCCCCCTGGGTGTGGAGGGGTCGGCCGCGACGCGTTGGAGCGTCCAAGATGGCCCAAGATGTCTTCAAGATGGCCCCCGATGTTCCAGGATAGACTCGAAGATTTCAAATATGGCTCAACACATTCTCCGAGAGGTCCCAAGCCCGCCCGAAGACGGGCCCAAGTGGTCACGGAGCTTCCCCCAGGGAGTCCCTCGAGAAGCCGAAACCCTTTCCGAAACGTTAGGGGAATAAATGCTGATATGCAACCAAAGTACCCCTGCCATTTTGAGAGGGAACTCAAGTTAGGAGGTGCAATACAATTATGGACAAGGGGGTCATCTTGCAGATGTGCCAAACGAATCCACCCACATATTTAGGGATAGCCCTAATAACGGTGGCGCTAAGGTAAGTCCCACATTCAGTGTGTTGTTAGGGGAAGAGGTTGCATAGTACTGAATGAGATGCTGGTCTCGTCTCTTCGCCTTCTACATTCTCATGGCCCCAGCGATGCGCGGACAGCAAGCGGCCACAACCGCGACGATGACACGCCAGGGTGAATGTCTTGCGCACGCCGGAAACTGTCAGAGCACAGAAACCAGCTTCGTACTGGTTGTGGTCCATGTGGCGTCCCAGGACGGCCAACCCGACCACAGCCACAACCAGAAATGCCCATGTCGATGTCCGTGGGTTCCTCCCGCGAGGGGCCCTCCCGAAAAATCCACCCAGTTGCGGTTGTGGCTCCTTGCGGCACCCAGAAGCGAGCCTCGGGAGGGGCCCAAGAGGCGCCCAGGACAGCTCCGAGAGCGCCCCGGGAGCGCCCCGGAGGCGGCCCTCGAGCGGTCCTCTCGAGGGGCGATGCCGGGGGGGCAGACCGTGGGGGGGTCCTGAGCGCCGCCCCGTGTTTGACCGCCCAGGATGGCCCCAAGTCGGCGACGAGCGAGGGGGGGAAGCGAGGAGGAGAGGCCTTCCCAGAAGGCGGCGGGGCTCCTCGGAAGCCCTCGGGCCTTCTGAGGAGTGTTCTGTGTTGTCTTCGGGGAAGGCTCAGAACACTTCTCAGAAGGATAAGGGACTTTCGCGAGCTTTCGGAGAAGGCCCTAGCCCCTGTCACCAGGCCCACCCTGAGCCCAGGATCGGTGCATACACCCAGGACGTCCAATGATGTTTGGTGTGGGAACGTCCAACTCTCCATCGCCCAACCATCGAAACGCGAGAAACCCAGGGCACCCTGGAGGCAAGCAGGGTGTTTCTTGGCATGGGCCTCCACTGCACGCCCTCGCGGCTCGGGCATGGAGGGCCCAGGACGGCCTGGCCAGGATCAGCGCGTGTGCACATTATGAATCCTCCTCCCTCCTCCTCCTCCTCCCTCCTCCTCCTCCTCCTCCTCCTCCTCCTCCTCCTCCGCCCTCCTCCTTCTCCTCCTCCCCATCCTCCTCTGCCCTCCTCCTTCTCCTCCTCATCAGCCGCCGCCCCGGCCGGAGAGGATTTCAGGTGCCTGACCAGGTAAGGCGACCTCACGCGCGGGGAAGCTGCTGGACGCGCCCGCCCTCCCCGCGCGCCCCGCCACGGCGCGCAGCAAGAGGGCCAGCCGCGATCGAGGCGGCGAACCGGCCTGGCACCGTCGTGCCAGGGCCGACCGAGGCAGAACCAGGACTCTGCTACGAGTAGCCGCCGCCAGTGAATTGTTGAACAGCCATCACAGCAGCATGACTTGGACATCCCAGCGTAGCAGGCAGCCCTCACGCTCACGGCAGTCGTCTCGCCGCCGTGGAGCACCATGGCAGGGACAGCAGCAGCAGCAGCAACGCTATCTCTGGGAGTGTCCTGCATGCAGCTACGCCAACAAGTGGGAGTCTACAAAGTGCGCGCAGTGCAATCCACAAAAACAGAACAGTAAGACAGACTCAGCCTCCATGCCTCCTCCATGGAAGCGCCAAGGCTCCCGTCGACCACCGAACAAGACCAACGAGCACGAGGACGCGTGGAACATCCTGCCGTGCTCCCCCGAGGAGACCAGGGCACACCGCAGCTGGCAGGAGCCCCCCCGTCCACCACCCCCCAGGAGCTGGGCGCGTTCCGCAAGGCGCTGGGCTCCACGCTCGAGGGCCTCGAGCGCCAGATCCTGTGCTCGCAGGAGCTACGACTGGACGAGACCCAGCTCCAGGCCCTGAGGCTCGAGTATTCGGTCGTGCTCTACCAGTTGATGTGCTCCAGAGCACCTGGCGCAAGGACGGCGAAACAGCTATGTTTCGTCAATCGTGCCAAGCGCAGGCTCGCCGAAGCCACCAATGCTCAACGGGAACCCGAGATGTACCTTGAGACGGGCAAGAGCCAATCGCTTGCACTCCAGAAGGAGCTGGACTTGGCAGAAGACCTACTTGACCATTTTCGGGAACTTGAAGAAGCTGCTACTCAAGAAGAACAAGATCGCAAGGCAGCAGAGGCCGCTCGCTCACCAATGACTAAGCCTCTGAGACGTCCGTGTGCCTCAGACTATTTGGATGAGGATGGTCATGAAGAACTCATTCGTGTGCCTCTCCCAGCCGAGGGCACGCTCAGACAGCGACGCACGTGGCCTATGACGCCCATAAGAGCACCCCCTGCTTCGCCGCCGTCGGGACCACGAACTCCCCGCACGCCGTCTACCGCGGTGTCCCGCCTGGAGCTTCACCGAGTTCGGGCTCAGCGGACATCGGACCAGGAACTTCAACACCAGGACTCCTTGCGAGCACGCAGCACTCTCAACAGACCCTGTTGGCCCAATTGCTCCATTTCAAGTCAGCTATGACAGAGATACAGAAACAGCTTACGGAAGTCAGCAATGGCCGCAAACGAGATCGAGAAGCTCTCCAGAGCCAAATCGCGGCCCTGCAGGAGCCCAAGCCAGCGGCAGCAGCAGCAGCAGCATCGCCTGCCAAGCAGAAGGAGCAACTACCACCTGAAGTTCGTGCTGAACGCCGAGGCCGCCTTGAGGAAGCACTGGCCAAGGGAGCCGCCCAGGACACCCGTGCTCGCTCTACCTCGCCCAGGCGCCCCAGTGGGCAGTCGGCCCCCAAGACGGTGCAGATCAACATCGGAGAGGCCAGGGAATCACAACATGCACGCCCAGATGAGCCTCGCCCAGGGGACGTGGCCGCGGGCGACGAGGTGGCCGACGACGTGGCGCTCAACGGCGCCGAGGCTGCCGCCGCCGCCGCCCAGGCGAGGCGCCCTGCGGCCGCGAGCGCGGAGGCGCCGTCGGACGACCAGCTTTTTCGCTAAGCCCCGAGCCCGCAGCGCCTGTGCTAGCTGCGCGTGAGGGGCGCCCAGGTGAGAATTCGCGCATGCTCGCTCAGATCCCGCATTGTCTAGACGCCTCTTCCATGCACCCCTCCCCTTAGCGGCTTCAAACGCCGACTGGACCACTGCGGGCCCAACTCTCTTTGAGCTTGCTAAGCGCCCCCCACCACTGCCAGGCGTTGAAGAAGTTGAAGGCGCTACGACGGCCCGACGGCCCCATCGGGGCCCACCAGAGGCATTCAACGGCCGCCTGTTCCCAGTCTCAGGTCCGCGCTGGAGCTCATGGAGCGCCCCTGGCCCGTTCATCCTTCGAGGGACCTCCTGTCGTGGGCCCCCTTTTTGGCACTCATCTACTGCTCAAGCTGTTCCAGGTCTGCTCCCGTAGCATCCCGCGGTGCAGTGCACCAGATTGGAAATGTACACGGAGGCTACCGCAGAGGGTTACAAGCACAACGAGCGAGTATGCGATCCTGCCTGGGCGCTTTGCATTCTTGCCATCTCTGCGCTAGGTATCACTATGCTCGGCCACCTAGCAAGTCCGCTGCCCGCTGAATGGACATCCAAGGACCCGCTCACGCCGCTTCGGGCAGAGCTGGAGGCCGCCATCTGGGCCATGGCCTGGAGCTTGCAATCCTCCCTGTGCCCCTTACCTCTGCATATGTACACGGATAGCATGGATGTATTGCGCGTATACCAGGGAGGATATGTGCAGGGTGCTCCGATTGCCACTAAATCGTTGTCGGACAGTCTTACGCAGTGTGTTTATCAGCGTTTCAGCGCAATATAGTTTCAACGTGTGAAGGGTCACGTCGCCAATCCTTGGAACGTATGCGTGGATACCCTTGCCAGACTCTACGCCATGCAAGTGCTACCCACGTTCATTGAACCAATGTGGCGTAAAATAGTAGGGAGGGGGCCACATATCAGCGCGCTCCCGTGGCTATGGCTGTG